AGAAACTTCTGCTAATCTGCTGGAATAGATGAAATCCTAGAAATGTTCCATCTGAATGTAATTGACAATTTGAAGATTTTACTTGTGAAACAATAGCAATTATCAGAAAATTATCAGCTGATACACATTCAATCAAGATTACTTTAAAAAAGAAAATCAGTATCACATCGTCACAGTGCTCCACATGCTGCATTTTAAATCATTGCTCCAAAGGTACAACACTGAAGTATTTTATCAAAACTGCATTCTTTTTAATACAGGCTCTTTTTTTTGTTGTTGTTTTTTGGGGATTTTTGTCTGTGTGTGCATTTTGTGCATTTTATTCTGAGGAATATATCTATGACTCTTGGTGGTGTTTTTTTTTTTTAAATTTGGCTCAAAACTTCTTTACCACCTGCCTACTCCACCACCCCTGTTGGAGATAATCATCCTTCAGCAGACTCATGGAGGCACCAGGTGGGTGGTGCAGATAATTGTGCAATTAAACCGTGATTTGAAATGAGAAAAAAAACTTAAACACTGCAATTATTGAGATTCAAACTGAAGCAAACATTTTATATCATAGCTATAAGCAAATTTTCAGCAATGCATTTCTTTCACTTTACTGCGTATTTGAAGAAGCAAAGCAGTGACATTACATATCCCATGTGGGTGTGTTACCCACACGATAGACACAACTGAAATCTGAAAAAATTATCCCAAAATTTTCAAAAAAAGCATTAGGAACCCTTTATACTTTATAATATCTTTGTATTTTAATCTGCATTTAAATTATTTTACAGAAAAGTTTAACTAAATAATAAATAAATTACTAGCTAATCACATATAATTCAGCTGTGTATTTAATAAAGACTGAAAAAAAATACATTCTTTTCAGTGTTTTAATATGGAAAAATGTATCCAAAAAAATCATTACCTAGTTTGACCTAATCTGACATCTACTTAATAACAGTATTAGATTAGGAACCTCCTACCCATAGATAAAGCAGTTGCATGGTTAAAGATGACAGTTAGAAATGTAAAATTGATATTGCTCTTGCCCACCTTTAATTTTGTGCCAAATAATAGAAGCAGGTATTTACACTGCGTTTTAGCTAACATATAACAGGTTCATTGTAGTGAATTATTTTGGCATTCACTGGTTTGATTATAGCAAATGGATTTTTTTTGCATATATTTCAGCATTTACTTTATGTTAAAAAATCCAAGTCGCATGCTTTCAACAGACTGAAAAAACAAAGTGTGTGTTCAAATATGTGAATGAAATCTACTCTCATTAACAGGGGTGTGCTAGTCCTGCTAGTCCCAGCACATCCAGATAACAACTTTAAATTGATTTTAAAATAATGGACAATATTTCTCTAAATAACCATGCTTATGACTACCCTATTAGTTTAACAAAACAGTAACTTTTCTTCTTTCAAATTGAAAGTGCGCAATAGATTTGATGAACAAATTTGGATAATTTCTCTTTTAGCTTGTTTTCTTTTAAGTATCTCTCAGAAAACACTCATACTTTAGGAGCTTTCTTATAGATTTCTCCTGCAAGACTATTTGAGTTAGGCATTCTCAGTATGCTCTGGCTTAACATACCTATGCTAAATTCACCATTAGCAATGTTATTCCTCAGGGGAACCCACCTCAGATATCAAATATAGGTAAATTATAGCTGCTGAATATCTAAGTTTGTTGAAGCTGGGGGCCTGAGTACAATTTTCTCACACTGTCTTGGTGTTGCTGTTAATTGTTGATATAGCTTTCAGAAATATATATATATATATATCACATATATATATATATATCACATGTATGGTTTGGTGCTTTTGTTATTTGTTTTTTTCTTTCTGGAACTATGCTAAGATTCTCACATTTTTCTTCTAATTCACCTAATTATATTGATTGTTTAAATATAAAACTCTGAGGTTAAATCAAGCTGTTTGCAAAATTTTCTCAATAGTTTCTACAGTTTGATTAGTTTCAGTTTCCCAATTGAGGTAAAAGTAGTTTTAGAGAATTTATCAAAACAGGTCAAATTGACATTTATGAGGTTATCCCATAACAGATAAATGTTCTTATGGTACCTGGGTGAATATTAGGTCATAAGTGTTCATATTTCTTTACATTACAAATTTTGGCTATTTCATATTCATATTTTGATAACACTTACCTAGTAGACCTATATTAAATATACAGGTAACAAATTAACATGTTTTTTCAATTTGAGTTAACAGTGTACACAGTACAATTTGGCACTTTTGTTAATACAGCAACAGATACAATTTAAACTGTACATTTACCCTTACATTATACAAAAATAAGTATATCATATAGCCATATGTTACATATTTAAGGGTTTGGTTTTTGAAATTAAAATTATCTCCAGTTATTTTTTTTTAATGTGTCTTTCAGGGCTTTTAAAAATAATTTTATTTCTGTTCTAATTATGAATTCAATTTTGAAGGAATGTTTACATTGCAATGAAACTTGAGATCATTAGGCTTTTTGTATGTGGTTTCAACTAATTCCTCAGTGCCGTACACATTAGAGAACTTAATGCTGAATTATCTAGAAAAGGAAAGAAAATATTTTCTTACTCATATTCTCAGTCTAACTTTACAACTGAGCATGTCTATAACACTTCAAAACAGCTTCAACAGCTCTTTCATGGAAACACGAAACCATCAGAGCTGTGGGAAGGAAATATATGATTTGTTTTCAGAGCCTAGTGTAGATAACATGAGATTACAAACCTATACAAAAATGCAGTTTTTCAACTTCCCCCAACTGCCTGCAGTTCTAGAAGTTTTCAGGAGCAATGCTATTAAATGGCTACTTTAGGGATACCAATGGGGTTTTATTATATAGCAGTGACAGTATCACAAATATTAATTAAAAATTTTGAAATCTAATAATCTTTCTATGCATAAAATCACTGTCAAATTAGCAAGGAATATTAAAAAAATATTCACTGTTAATATTGGAAATAGTCTTTTCCTGTTCAGAGACTGCGTGTTACAATAGAGGCATAACTAATCAATAATTCGATTGCACAGGCAACCACTCAGCATGTGCTAAGAGGAGAATTTCTCAGTGGGTTTTGGAAAATACAGACAACATATACAACTGAGTTCAGAGATTCAGAGTACCCCTACCCAGCAAACACCTTTTAATCTAGAATGGTCATGAAGATTCAATAATCTCATCTCCAACAACCTTCTGACATTGTTTTTCTGACATATTCTAAAAAACCCAATTATTTTCTCTAAATCAGGTCAGCCTAGCAGGGATTATTTGACTGAAGGGATGGAAAAATATTGGTACCAAACTTCATGCAACCTTTCACAGCTACATATTTATCTGGGAGGCAACAAATGAACTTGCACAGTGAGCAAATGCAGAAGCATTCCATAAGGCATACACAACTCTAAGGATAGAGTTTCATTCCTGTTTCAAGGATTACTGGTCTAAAAGTCAACATAACATTGTATCTCAAAAGAATTCTGTAATCGTCTTTTAAGGAAACAGCTCAGAATCTTCAAGTTATTGCCTTCTGTATTAAAATCATACACTAATGAATCAACCAAATAGTGTTTTTTCCCATAATTTAAATAGAAATATTAAATATTTTAATGCAAAAAAGAGGTTAACTTCTGATCTACTGTACTTGTAATTAATACAGTTCCTATTCTAGATGATAAGCACTTTGCCATTTTTTCATTAGATTTATTTTTGCCCATTTGACTTTTTACTCAATAAATTAAATTACAAAGTACTTTGACTAGATTTGGGTTTAACTCCTTTTGACACTTTTGTTAACATGCCTTTGGGAAAAATTAATTATTGTTTTTATATATTTTTTCATTCCATACAAGCATTGACCATCACATTACTGGTCTCTTAACAAATATTAAACTTTTCTGGTCAATATTGCTAACAGAAAGCCACTGATTTCCCACATTCTTTGTATTACAGTTAGAAACATCAAAGATGAGTTTTGATGTCACTTGAAAAATAACCTGTAATAGCTATCTGTAAAAACATTAACTTCAAATACTAGTCCTATACTCCTCAAGATCACACAACATATCTGTATTACTCCTTGGTACATGCAATTATAAAATGAGACAAAAGCTAGAAATTATACTTCTCATTATAAAGTGCAGAAATTTCAACCTGGTGAAAAAGAGATGAAATATTTTAAAAAGTAAAGGTAATAAATGCTTTTTGGTTTGATTCTTTACCTGAAGACAATGAGGTGGAAAAGACCAATAATTTTTTAATGTCACAAAGTCATTGCCACAATTAATTCATCAAAATTAACTACATTGTTCAATTATTGCTGCAATTCTTTTTTTACATCATTAAAATTCATAGATGTTGCTAAACCTCTGTTTACTCTTTGGGAAGTTCCATTAGGCAAAACATTATTCATAGTCAGATGTGCCTCTAAACACAAAGACTCTGATTTCATACATGCTGTCCTCATAATTTTTTTTTTCTTTTTTACAAAGTGTATCAGAAGGTTGAGCAAAGACAAAAACAGAACACAGTACTAGAATATACTTTTGTTACATTTGTGAACTGCACTGTATCCAAAGGGAGCATTACATTAATACTGATCTGAAATTATCTATTTTTATGCCTCTTTATTCAGCATCAAAAACAACCAAGTCTACTGATAGATTTTTTTAGAAGATATTTAGCACTTAAAAAATTCACTAACGCACAAAAAGGACAACTAAATTATTCAGCTATTATATGATACATTTTCTCACAGATTTTTTCAGATTCCCTCCTGGCAAACATACACTCACTGGACAGTTTTTTCAGCCTTATGTGCACTGATACTTTGCAATGTATGTCACATGACCAGTGGATAAACCAGGAATGTTAATCTCTGGGATTAGGTATGTAATTTATTTTAGCAGGCTACCATGCTGAAGTTACTCACGTTGATGCCTGTAGGCTACAGCTGTTCCTGGTTCCAGCCAGGCACTTACCTCTCTCTGTCAGGGGAGTAGTGGTCATCTACAGCTCGGTGTCTGTCCATGCGGTTCAGGGTGTTGTAGTGCGCAGCAGTGGATCGAGTCCCTCGCAGTCCCTGATCCACATTCCGACTGAGGAAAAAAGATATCAGATCCTGAGTTTTGAGTGTGCCTGGAAGACATCCTCTCACTGGTTTGTACAAACAATTATCAGCAATCATGCTGGTAACAATATCTGTTAGCCGACCAGACTTTTCTATACATTTAAAGTAAAATAATTTAAAATCTTAAAGTAAAAAAAAAATTCTCATTTAGAAGATGGTGCCAAGTCCATAATAGGGATAGAGATCTCTTTTTTTGTTCCAATGTGCTTCTTCTAGAAATTAGAGGAAAGATTTTTCATTTCCTTCATGAAAAATGTTATTCTTGCACATCATTTCATTAATCTTTCCAGATTTCAAGCAAAAAATTCAATTCTGACAGAAACATCCACTGTAAATAATTTTTCATGAGTTCTTGATTTTGGCTTTACTATAAAGATGTACACTGTAGTCAGACACAATGGGGACTTGTGGCTGTTACAGTAGAGTGTAAACATTGGAAACTTTGAAAACACTGTCATCTGAATTTAAAAATAGGACTGTATGTGGTACCCACTTAGTGGGTTGGTGCAGGCTTGGGTAAAGATCACCTGTACTAACTGACACCAAAGCTTTGCCAATTGATTGTTTTACTCATTTATCTATCAATACCTACTGACACACACTACTTTTTGTGCTCTGTAAAACAAATCCACAAGAATAGGAAAAGAGGAGACAATGGTTAACTGCAATAATTATTGGATAAGGAAAACATAATTGTTTTGTATTGATTGGAAAATAACAAATTGGATGCTTCCCTCCACACAAGTTCAAGACCAATAAATTATTCTGTCTCTTGTCCTTTACTGCAATCTGCACTAGTGTGAACCTGAGTTTCTTTTTCTTTTTTTTCTTTTTTTGTTTTGTTTTGTTTTGTTTTGTTTTATATTACTCAGTTCCCCTTTTCTTTCTTGTCACTTTGTCTGCCCTTTTGGTACCTGTCATACTTATCCTTTGTCATTTACCAATTTCTGGCTAATGTTAACTTATACATGTATCCTTCACTGCTGCTGCTGTGACATTACTTATTTCTGCATATAAGTGCTATAATGATGTTGCATTACACATAAACTTGCCTTCAGATCCACCTCATTTGTCATAAAGCATTTTCCACTCTGGCATTCATGAATCCAAATATTGGGTTTACTCTGGCTAGTTAAAAGTAACAAGAGCAGTAACAATTTCTTGTTACACAATGCAGTGGGCCTTTGATGGAGTTTATTAAAAAATTAAGTAGGACTGAGGACTGCAAAATGGTTTCTAAAAAATAACAGCAACTTCTATGGCCCAAAACCTCCTGCCTGCAGAGGTGTCAGTAATGGGAAATTTCTGGGCATGCAGAATGCTCACTGCAGTCAGGACATATACAGAGTAGATGTATAACCTGAACAGGGTGCAAATGTGATTGATAATTCTTATAGATCTCCTGAGTAGACCTGCATTTTCAATAGAACTAAAAAAGGTATTTCTGAAATCCATAGATTATATTTCTATTCTACAGATCCTCAAACTCTCATAACTCAATTTACTGAGCTCAACAAGTCCTCACAGAATTGATTTGGTGTGTGGGCAGGGAAATAATATACAAATAATATTTGTATAATATTTTCATTTGATTCTGACTTTGTAGGAAACAGCTGCAATAAATTCAAAACTATATTTAAAAATTTAGCTTTAGGAAAGTTAAAAAGCAAGAGATTTTGAACATGTAAAGAAATCCAAGACTACAAGAAAATGAAAAGTAGATTTTTCATTTATGTTAAACAAGTGTTAATTACTAGCTTGGGTAAAAGTTCTGCCCAAAATGCGCACAGCATGCATGCAGACAGAAAAACATAAAAACACAAGCATACACACAAAGAGATTGTGCTCACATTTACGTCTATATCCAAGACAAATAACCTCTAGAGATTTAGCGTAGACAATTACTTATGCTGAAATCAGTACATTAAAAAATCAGAATAGGCCCCTTTGTGTCTTCCACTTATGTCTCATTTCAAGTCGAGCTGACTTGGTTTTAGATAGGTTTAGATTTCAAGAAGAAACACACAGTTTCTGCCCCTTAGATGAATGAGATGATGGGGGATAATTTGGAATCCTAATATCTCACTAATGCAAAAGGATATCATATAGGCTACATCCATTAGAGGAAATTGTAAGTAAAAACATAAGTAAGATATTATGAAGTCAAGAAAATTTTAACAAAAAGAACAAAGATAACAGAAAGGAAAGCCAAAACCAAGAGAATCAGCATGGCTGAAAGAAAGGGAGAGGAACATGGACCTGCCAGGAAATATTGGATAACAGATCTTCAGTATCAAAGGGGAACTGTGAACATTATGGGCAAAAGAGAAAACGTCTACTTTCATTTCAACTGAATTACATCATCTGGAAACCTACCCATACATAGCAACAAAACTGCTGGAAAACAGGTTTCATTCCCATTTACATCTATCCTTCTGTTTCCATTCTCTTAAGAAAGCTTATCCTGCAGAGTATTAAATCAATTATGAGATGTTATCCAACAGTACTAGGTTTTGGAAGAAATTTCCTGATCTAATTTTCTCAAGATAAATAGTTATCAGAGGTCTTCCAAGATCAGGAGTTGATACATTTTACTATTAAATTGTATGTCTGTCTGTTTATTCTTGATGATTTAGAAGTATGAAAGAAAGAATAGGAAGGAAGCCACTATAGGGAGCAAGGGAGGCTCCCCAGAATCTTAACTCTACAGAAATAAAAAGGTTGAAAACATCCACTATCATATGGATGCTAAGAAAATATCGAACTATCATATACTATAAAACATGGCACCTGTAAATAGCTCTAGAAAATGGAAATATGGAGCGATATTTTTCTTTACTTAGATTGAACTGTACTGAAGTTTGAAGAAAGACCAGATATAAATAGGCAGAAGATACAATTATGTAATCTTATAATAAAAAATAGTAATAATAAACCATAAATAACATAGAATTATATATAAATTAGGCACATACTATAATGTAAAAAAAAAAACCCCTACATTATTGGCTTTATGTAATTTTGTAAGATCTAACCAATTCATTGCCATTTTGAAAGTCTGGAGATTATTTCCAGCGCTGGTACAAGATCAATACCACTTTAATTTACAAAACTGCATAGTTCAAGTAGAGTTTACCTTTGTGGGGGAGGGACACTGGGAGACCACGATCTAGTCCGTCCTATACTATCTCCACGGTGAGGGGACCCTGATCGAGAACAATGATTAGATGACATTACTTGCTCTGGCACTGACAGTGTGGAACTTTGAAGATCTCTCCCATTATGTCGGTAATCTAAAAAGAAATGCAAATATTCAGTGAATCTGAAGTTGTACTTTTCAACTTCCTGCCGTATCTGTAGTAGTGAGAAACTCAATAAAAGATGGGATTTGATCAAGAATGTTATCGTGTGTTCTTGGGTTTTATAATAAAACATACATACATAAAGTTGACTGCTGTTGTTATGCTTTATTTAAGTACAATTACAGTTCCTATAGTTATACTTTAAAACTATAGAAATTAATACCATGCACCAAACTGGGGACTTACCATTTATGGTTAATATGATGTATTAATAATAAAAAAAATTAAACTGATTTTTACCTAGAGTAAAAAAAAATAATTATTGCATTTTTAATTAAAATTATATTCCAACTGTTGTATGTAGTGTTTTGCAAAAAGAAATATCCATAATTTAAAATTAATCCAAAATTTTAGTTTACAAATTTGGGATAGGAAGCTACTATGGAGTTAAATAATGAGGTTGGGTTAAATAAAGATTTGTATTTATATCAGAAATAATTACAGTAACAGTGACTCAATTACATCAGATTCCACTCACAATTCTGAATTAAAAACCACAGTTCCTTTCCAAATAGCAAGTACCATTCCCATCTCCCTGTGCAGCTGAGAGGGAAGAGGTAGAGAACCAGGAGTGAAGTTGAGACCAGAAAAAAGGAGGGGATGGGGGGAAATAATCTTGAATAAGCCTAATAGAAAGCATGGTCTAAGAAAAAGCCTCCAAGTTACACTGGCCTAAAAGTCTACCACACGGACATTTGACACAGGCTTTTAATAAAAATATTTTTAAAAATCTGGATGTATTAAAAGTGATGGTTTTCACATAATTGAAAAAGTTGAATTCACTGTCCCATGGTGCAATAGTCTCTGTGGAAAAAAAAGATGCTAGATATACAGCCATTTCAAGTAAGTTTCCCCAAATTTTGTAAGGATTAAATTAAAACACAATGATAAGAAGTGGAAAATTAGCAGGCATAGGTCTTCAGGCAGTTCCTGGTAGCTATGACAACTGATATAACTGATTTCTTTTTTCCAGAGACAGTAACCAGGTAAAGAATACTTAGAGAGATCCACCCAGCACTGGAAAAATTCTGGGTCATGCAACTGTTATACTTTTCCCATGAGAATCTTCCAAGAGGAGAATATTCTTCTGTTCATGATTTTCTTATTTTTCTTCCTGGAAAATGTTCATTAGGACCTAAACAAAACCTTATTAATTCATTCCACGTTATGGTTCCAAGTATGTTCAATACTTTCAATTGAATACTCATATTTACTGTATGACTTTACAACCAAGGATACATGTAAACAATCCTAATTTGTAAACAACTTCTTCCTCCTATGTTTAGGGGTAAACTGCTTTGTGTGTATCTGGTATGTGTACATAAAGGGGGGGAAAAAATGCATATCACCATTACATTACACTAATATAATGATGATGAGGATGACATAGTGTCTCCTCACTACACAGCAGTCAAGTCATGTTATGTGTATCCTCAACTAAGAGTCAGTAATGAAATACAGATTTTTATCCTATATATGAAGTAAATTTATTATTATAAGCACTGACAAAACATATATGGGCCAGTGCAACATAATTCTGAGATCCCCAAAGGCAAGACAAGGGAAATTTTATGTGTGTTTGAAACAGGGTGTTATTCCTCACTAGTAAAGTGTAGGAGACAAATAAATAAATTTCTTGCATGTCAGTCTGGAAATCAATACACTGCAATTCTGCAATTCTTTAACCAGAAGTAAAAGAGCTAAAGTGACAGCAGTGGAGAGCCCTCTCTGCAGCAGACTCCTGGCAGGACCTGTGGTCCTGTGAAGAGAAGCCCACCCCGGAGCAGGTTTGCTGGCAGGACTTGTGACCCAGGCTGGAGCAGTTTTGAGGGACTGCACCCTATGGAAGGGACTCATGCTGGAGTTCATGAAGAGCTGCAGCTCATGGATGAACTGACTTTGGAGAAGTTCATGAAGGATCGTCTCCCATGAGAAGCACCTCACTCTAGAGCAGAGGCATAGAGTGAAGGGAGGAAGGAGCAGCAGGGACAACATGTGATGAAGTGACTGCAGCCCCTGTTCCCAGCTCCCTGTGCAGCTGAGAGGGAGGCAGAGAACAGGAGTGAAGTTCAGACCAGAGGGAAAGAAGGGATGGGAAGAAAATTGCGAAATTTCAGCGGGTTATTTTCTCATTATCCTACTCTGATTTTATTGGCAATAAATTAATTTCTCTGAGTTGTCTGTTTTGCCTATGACTGTAACTGGTGAGTAATCTCCTCCTGTCCTTATCTCCAGCCACAAGTCTGCAGTTATATTTTCTCTCCCATGTCCAGCTCATGAGGGCAGAGATGGAGCAGTTTTGGCAGCCACTTGACACCTAGCCAGGTCAATCCACCACACATAAAGAAGCAGCAAGTTATTATAAATTTCTAGATATTGAAATAAAAAAAACATGATTTACAGTACAATAACAAAGAGAAATATTGTCTTATCCTAATAATGCATATCTATTGACATAAAAGACAGAGATGGTTCTTTGTATTCTGCATACACAAAGAGAATTTGTTGCATTTGGAGATGGAAAACAATCTAGAGTAGTCATATGAAGAAATCGGTAAATCCTTTGAAAAAATCAGCAGTTTATATGATATTTTGTATGTACAGACATCGAAGTATGAGGGGAATGAGCAATACCATAAGATTTTCTAGGTGAATAAACATAATGAAGGGCAAGATAATCAATTAACAAAACACAAACAAGAACCTCCTTTAAAATTATAAAAATAATGCTTAAAAAATCTATAAAATTCCTAGAAGTGAGAACAAGTAAAACAAAATTATTGAATTTATAAATCTGCACATAGAAAAAAATTAATCACTTTGGAATAAAATGCCTCTTCCAGTCCTAATTTGTTATTGTAGTCAACCAAATGAGCAGTATTGTTGCAATAAATCAAAATATATGACTTTATAATTAATTTTCAAGTCTAATCCTGATCAAACGTGTACTTTACATTAATTTGGAAGTAGTCATGCAGTGATTTCTGGTAACACTGGTACTGTTTCCTTATGACAATTGAAGACAATGAAAAAGGCAGAAACAATCAGCATTCCTAGCAATTTTGCTAAATTTAGATAAATTTTTGCTACATTTTTTGAAAAAAACTAGAGTTGTTTAGCTGTGATCAAAGAAACAGATTAATAGTCTAATAATATTGTTGTCAGGAAAAAAATTGACATTTATAATTCATTTACCTAAAACAAAAATAACTATAAACTGCTCTTTTTCCAACAGGTCACAAATTGAAAAGCAACTGTTTGAGTAAGACAACCCACTAACATGGGTTAATGAGGTAATTTCAAAGTTATGCTTCAGTTTTGTAGAGTTAATCAGATTAGCTCTGATTTAACTGCCTGTATTGTAGGTACAATTTAACTTCCAATTTCAAAAATATTGCACATCCTAGAAATAAGGTTAGAGAAGATAAGTAATAAATATTTTCTTGTGAAAAGAAATTATAGACAGAAAAGACAGGTCATAAGGGCAGCCTGACCAATGAGTTGCTATTGAGCAAAGCAGATAGTTATTTATAGCAGTAGTAAAAATAGGATAAACATTATCCTGCTTGCAGCTATAAATATTGAGTCATTACCATAGAATCAAAGGCTCTATAACTATGGCAAGCCTCTTAAATCAACATAGAGAGTACACAGAACCTAATAATCAGTGTAGAGATAATCAGTGGTAAGCAACTGTGAGCTGCAGACACCTAAAAGAGACACAAGACAAAGATAACTGCAATGCCACCACCTTCCTCTGTCATGAGGTTTCATTAAAAACTGGTATATGAAAAGACGGATTTTACAAAGCACATAAATACAACTTCTTCATGCCTGAAGTTTTATCTGATTTAAGAGAGATTATTAATATATTTGACTTAAAGTTTTAATCCACACAGTATAGCTGTACTGTGCTAATATTATGCTATGCAGGGTACATGTTCTGTAAATCCTAGTAAATCCTAATGATTGAATTGTTATTAAATTATCAATCTTTCAGGCACAAAATTGCAGAAAATCACAAACTTCCAAATATTAGGTTATTAGGTTCACATCAACAGCCCTAAAATATCCCTAAAAAGAATGAAGGGAAGTGTACTAATGAACATTTTAATTTAGATACCTTGCTGCTTGATTTACTCGAAAGAAACTCTTGGTATGAAAATTGTTCTAGAAAGGCAGTACTAGAATGGCTGCTCATCACAGGTGATGTAATTGACTTGTTTCTGTTGCTAAGTGGTGTTTTGTCCACTTTAACATCTGTACTTGAGTGAAGCATCAAGCTTTCAGATATTTAATACTCACAGTGGTTGGGCTTAGAACAAGCGCTAATTTAAAACAATTATATAATCAAATTGCCAGAAATGCATAACATACCAACATCTCACACAAGGGCACTTTGAAGAGAATTCAGTTCATTCATACAAATGTGCTCAGCTTCTGGGGTGATTTGAACATCTAAATGAAGAATTTAGATGTCCTCTAAAAAATTGCAGACTGTCACTGATCAAATAAATTTAATTATTAATATCTGAATACTTTATATGTTGAAGATACATTATGCATTGCTTTGGGGAATTTTTTGTATAAAATACTATTTTGCAAATATGGGAAGAGTGAATGTACAGTGAAAGGAATCAGCAAACATTACAGTGGGAAACACTGGTTACTTGCTGCATAGCAACTGAGTTCATCACAGGTATATTTAGCTCTACAGCACTAAATGTATTTATGGGCCTATTACACTTGAGACAATTCTTTTCTTATGGAAAAGCATTCCCACACACTAATAAACTAGAACTTGCTAGTTTTCAGTGCTGTTCCTGTAACCAGAAAGACATGCAAAGCTTGAGGAAAAAAACCCCAAACCACCACAGGTACTATAAAGATGTTTCTTCTTAGTTAAGCACTCATCCATATATATATTTGCA